CTTTATATATATATATATATATATAAATTGTACCTGAATGTATGTAGAGCATAATCGCTGTAGTCATGACTTTTAAATCTAACCGTTTCGACACCATAAACGTTTTAACTTCGCTTCTCATCTTTTGAGATGGGCTACAACTATTATCAATGCTTGTGTTCAACGAAAACTATTTACTCACATATTTCTTGCTATAATTCAGCTAAGAATATGTATCGCTGTAGGCATCGAGAAGTTGGTTGTTTACACATAAATACGTAAATTTTAAAACTTAAAAAGTGCAAAAATTACCACACTAGTGTCCCCTAATCTACTTTGTAATTATTCTTATGTAAGTCTGTTATTAGATTAGTTCTTTATTCCTGAAAGCCTTCAGTCAGATAGAGTTCAATTAATGTAATCGACGCATTTTGAGAAATTGTCTTTCGTATACGTATATGACATCTATTTTTGAACAATACTTATGAGTAGTTTCTTGTATATTCAGAAACCTTGCACAGCAACATTGACAACGGGATGTGATAGGCCTCTTCTGAACAACTGCATTAACATTAACACTGGTTGTAGCAATACAGATCTCTTAGTCTTTTATACTGCTGTTTTCAGCCAGTAATATTTAATTTCACTAGACATATTCTGTCAGGTTTTATGTATGAGCCGGATTATTTACAATAGGTGTCTGTGACTTGTTGGTGATAAAGTTCAACAATAAACAAACTGCACATTATCCACTTGTTTTAAAATAATATATTAAAACAGGTCAAACGTATATACAAATGTTCGTTACACTGTTGGTTGTCACAATTGTATCCAGGGCTTAACATAATTGTCTCTTTCTCGTCATAGTCCACACAAGCTGATTCAGTTACCTTAGAACACAATTTGACAAGACGAATTATTTTTCTTGCTCTGTTATTACAATACAATCTGCTCTTTGTGGCTAAACTCACAATCACGCATTCTATCAAACTATCTATATAACAAACTAACTCGTACTACATTTTGACGCGTATTTATAAGCTGACTGAGGCCTAGAGCGTTCCATAAACACTACGAGATATTATGATGCAATAATACTTAATTAAAACAACGAGAAAACTTTAAAAGGTTCTAGTAACATGACGCAATAATTCAACAAGCACCAATTCAGAATTGAACTACACAACGTATAAATTTAACACTCACTTAAACCGTCTAAATCATAACACTCGCATTAAACTTAAACAGTCGTGTATATCTAACAAATTCTAAAAATAATTCAACATACAAGTATATATATATAGATTAAATTTATATCAATAAAGTAAACCGAGTTCGGAGTAAATATCGAAAATCAAAGATATAAACCATCATTTAATGAAGTTTATAGATATTGATGTAATCATAATCTCATGTTGTTCGAAACGAAAATACTTTCATCTTGTAGCAACCAATCCAGCTCCAAGTTGGAAAATTCTTGTGTGGCATACTTACGACTTTTACTTAAGTGAAACCAAGTTAACGTCCACACAAAAAGTGGCCCTTTTGATAACAGTGACTTGGATGTACGGGTGCAAAGAGAATATGCAGTTACATACAGCGTTTATTCCCCTTCTGCGGTAATATTCGTGTAAAAGAATATCAATGAACTTCAACATTATCTAATAAAAGAGAAGAGTAAATACTAAGTGATATGTTCCAGTAGTTATATTTTTATTGCTTAAGAACGCACCAGACAGAAAATTCGCATTAGAGGCTATACAATTATCTTCGTTTTCGCCCATTTGCAAAGATATTACAGCATATTCATTGCATAACACGGAAATCCTGGCGCCAAAACTGTCTCGTTTAACAAGCATACATTAGATGAAACCAATCTATTTTGTCGCTCCACATCAGCATCCTCAAGATTCACGCTGTTACTTCGAAACTGTGGCTACATAAACAACTTAAAAAACAAGCACCCTTAGTTAAACTTAATAAACTCTGAAATATAAAATAGTAGGTATCGCATGAATAAAACTCTGAGGAAATTGCCTCCCCGTTAATTCTGAGAGTTTATAACGCTAAAAATTCGGGTTTTAATAAACGCGGTGGGCAGAGCACAGTTAGCCGATTGTGTAACTCTGCTGTCAACATCAAACAAACTGAGGACATTATCTTCCTATTTATATTAAGGTTATTAATAGAGCGTCAAACGAGTTTAATAGTATTGTGAATTTTACTGTAAATTCAGAGTAAGGTTTATGAATCCGCGACTTCGAATTGAAGAAATGAAACAAAAAGTGAAATAAATGTAAAGAATTTTTACAAATTTATATTTTCAATACAGCCCCTTCAACGGATAATATGTGTATTTTTATTCTAGTATTATATGATACTGTATTTATAATTTTGAAATATA